GGGGAAGTGCGGGTAGGGCTGGTTCCGCGCCTGGGGAGCGAAGTGCCGGGACTGTGGGTTGGATGGAGTTGGCGGGGTGCCTCGTATATTTTCATGGCGCGCAAACTTGTTTCCGTCACAGGAAAATCATCAGGAGCAAGCCCTCGCATTGTTTTCTCCTTGCTTCTTCGCCTCTGTGCCTTCTTCGCCTCTATGCCTCTGTCCTCGGCAAGCCGGCGATTCCGTGGAACGGCGGAAGGAAGCTCCTGGGCGCGGCTCTGCTGGCGTGGGGTTTCTCGAGGCTTACCCGCGCTCCTCGTCGCCACAGCCCGCGTTCCTCGTCGCCTAGGCGTGTCCGTTGTCCTCGTCGCTTGAGCTTCCTGGAGGAAGCAGCGTCGAAAGCTAGTCGATTCTTGCCGCTCCTCGTCGCCTTGACCGCTGGGAGTGTCGTCCTGCCGCTTTTGCACAGCCATGTCCGCCGACTTGGGGACCTCTGGCTTGCCACGCCTACCGACTTGGAGGCCTCTGGCGCTAAGCCCGCCGACTTGGGGGCCTCTGGCATGGGTCCCTGCCTTTTCGCGGGCAAACCCATGGTCCCTGTGTTGTCGCGGACAAACCCAAGCCCTAAGGGCTGTTTCTCACCGCGCCTGCGCGCCGTCTCTGGCCCACCTGCATACCACGCTCGCGGCTTTCGCCGGTGCCCTGTCCTGGGCGGAGTCTCGGATTGAGATCCAGAAGATCCCAGCCAGGCAGCGCTTCCCTCAAGCCCCTTGCTGGCGCGAGGGCGCCGGCCATTTGCATGAAGCGTAAACTCGTTTCCGACACAAGAAAATCATGCGGAGCAGGCCCAAGCGTGCTCCCCTCACCTCCTCTGCTCCCGCTCACACGCCTCTGCGCCTGCTTCGCGGGCAAGCGGTTCCTGGCGGGCCGGCTTGCGTTTTCGGAGGCGGAAGTATGCTCGGTGCTAGTCTCTTGGGTCAGCCGTTCTGGTCGCCCCACAGGAGACGCTCTCGGTCTCTGCGGGGAGCAGGGCCAAGCCAGGCCAAAGCACGAGCGACGGCCTGGTGCGCAGGGGCCGCCTTCTCAGGCTCTCTGGTGACCGAACGCTCTCCGCGTGGGACGGCGCCCGCAGGGCGGGCGAGCTACGCTCTCTGGCCCTCTTCGCCAGAGGACCGGGCGTCCCGGGGCGCAGGCTTCTTGTTGGTTTCCAGTGGGTGCGGTCCTCAGTGCATTTCTGGTGCCGCTGAGCGCCATTCTCGCGCCCCGCCGTGAGGGCTACTCTCTCGCTGCTCCTTGCCGCTTGTGGTGAAATGTAGAGTGCGTCGTTGCTGCCCCCGTGGGGGCCGTGCTCTCTCTCTGGCCCTCGCCGCCTGCCATTCCCAGATCTGTGCCGGCCAGTCTGAGCGCGATTGTGCACTCGGGTGGCATTCGCTTGCCAGTATTGCACTCTATGATTCTGAGCTCCTTTCTGCGTTCTGGTGGCCAGGCGCACCAAGATTCGCAGTCTGAGGGCGTCCGCGTGCCCAGAATTGCATTCTGAGCCTTTCGGCGGCCTGGTACCCAGGCGCACCGGGGTTCGCAATCTGAGCGTGACTTAGCGTTGTTGGGCGTCCGCGCGCCCAGAATTGCATTCTGAGCTCCTTTCCACGTTCTGGTGACCAGGCGCACCAATATTCGCAGTCTGAAGGCTTCTGGGCATCCGCGCGCCCAGAATTGCATGCTGAGCTCCTCTCTGCGTTCTGGTGCCCAGGCGCACCCGGGCTCGCAATCTGAGCGTGACTTAGCGCTCCTGGGTGTTCGCGCGCCCCAAAAAATTGCATCCCGAGCGCCTTTCTGGGTTTTGATTCCAGGCGCACCCACGTTCGCAATCTGAGCGCTTGTGGCGTCCGCGCGCCCAGAATTGCACTCTGTGTCCCTTCTGCGTTCTGGAGCGCAGGCGCGCCCAGATTCGCAATCTCAGCGCAGCAAAGCGCTTCTCAGCGTTCGCGCGCCAAAAATGGCATTCTGAAAGCCTTTCTGCGTTCTACTGCGCTGGCGTGCCCAGATTCGCAAGCTCAGCGCACACTAGCGCTCGTGGGCGTCCGCGTGAAATTGCATTGCGAGTCCCCTTGTTGCGTTCTGGTGCCCATGCGCACCCAGATTCGCAACCTGAGTGCGACTTAGTGCTCCCGGGCGTTCGCGCGCCCAGAATATCGCATTCTTAGTTCCTTTCTGCATTATGGTGCCCAGGCGCGCCAAAATGCAGTGACCTGGCCGCCTCGACCGAGCCAGAAGCAGGGGCTACGGACACACTCTGGGGCACTCGGGGTCGGATGTGTGCAGGCGGCAGAAGCTAGTCCTTGATGGGGGAGCATTTGCTAATCCCCCACCTGCGCACAACGGGGGCGGGGGTGCTTTGCATTTGCGCAGCACGCCCGTCCTCGACCGACCCCGGGGGGCCTGCGTCCCAAACGGCGCGTAATCGGAATATCCATGCTGACGCCCTTTCACCAGCGAGCTCAGAATTAAATTATGGTGTGGCTGCTGAAAATACGGCGGCTGAGATTGCAACTGGACGGATTTCCCATGGGAACTCGGCCCATCGGATTTCGGAAGATTTTCGGCCCCAAAATGGGTGCCAAAGAAGCGTGGGTCGGAAGCGCCTCAGCAAGCAGTTCCTTGGCTGCGTTTCCTGTTGCCTTAGCTCCGAGGCGAAGCTGACATTCGCGTCGTTGCAATAGCGCGCAGTCGAGCTGCGCGCGCCCTCTAGCGCGTCGCCTTGACGGCGTTGCCCGCCAAGACGGCGCGCCTCGCATAAAGGATGGGGTCACCCAGACCACCCACCAGGAAAGAAACCGTTTGGAGACGGATGCGCCTGCTCCGCGGCGACGGACAGCATTCTATCGCGAAGGGCGAGCGTAAGCCCCTTCGCGGCCGCGTCCAGGCGGACGCGCTCGCCCCGAAGATGGGCGCTCACTCATCCATCTCATCATTCAAATCTGCTCTGTGTCCTCTGGCGGCGGCGGCGACAAAGTTGAATCGCGTCGGCGGCGCGGCGGCGTCCGGGGAATCCTTTCTCTGACGGCAGCCCAGCGCCGTCAAGCTGCAGGGAGCCAGCGCGGCAAGGCAGGTTCTCCACCGGGGCAGCATCGCACGCAGCGCTCGGCAGGCGCGCTTATGACGCCCTCCGGAGGCCTGGGTGGTGCACTCAGGCTGCGGAGGGGGATAAGCATCGCAATCAGCGCTGGCGCCTGCTTCGCGGGCAAGCGGTTCTTGGCTGGCCGGCTTGCGTTTTCGGAGGCGGAAGTATTCTCGGTGCTAGTCTCTTGGGTCAGCCGTTCTGGTCGCCCCACAGGAGACGCTCTCGGTCTCTGCGGGGAGCAGGGCCAAGCCAGGCCAAAGCACGAGCGACGGCCTGGTGCGCAGGGGCCGCCTTCTCAGGCTCTCTGGTGACCGAACGCTCTCCGCGTGGGACGGCGCCCGCAGGGCGGGCGAGCTACGCTCTCTGGCCCTCTTCGCCAGAGGACCGGGCGTCCCGGGGCGCAGGCTCCTTGTTGGTTTCCAGTGGGTGCGGTCCTCAGTGCATTTCTGGTGCCGCTGAGCGCCATTCTCGCACCCCGCCGTGAGGGCTACTCTCTCGCTGGTCCTTGCCGCTTGTGGTGAAATGTAGAGTGCGTCGTTGCTGCCCCCGTGGGGGCCGTGCTCTCTCTCTGGCCCTCGCCGCCTGCCATTCCCAGATCTGTGCCGGCCAGTCTGAGCGCGACTGTGCACTCGGGTGGCATTCGCTTGCCAGTATTGCACTCTATGATTCTGAGCTCCTTTCTGCGTTCTGGTGGCCAGGCGCACCCAGATTCGCAGTCTGAGGGCGTCCGCGTGCCCAGAATTGCATTCTGAGCCTTTCGGCGGTCTGGTGCCCAGGCGCACCCAGGTTTTGCAATCTGAGCGCGACTTCGCGCTCTTGGGCGTCCGCGCGCCCAGAATTGCATTCTGAGCTCCTTTCTACGTTCTGGTGACCAGGCGCACCAATATTCGCAGTCTGAAGGCTTCTGGGCATCCGCGCGCCCAGAATTGCATGCTGAGCTCCTCTCTGCGTTCTGGTGCCCAGGCGCACCCGGGCTCGCAATCTGAGCGTGACTTAGCGCTCTTGGGTGTTCGCGCCCAAAAAATTGCATCCTGAGCGCCTTTCTGGGTTTTGATTCCACGCGCACCCACGTTTGCAATCTGAGCGCTTGTGGCGTCCGCGCGCCCAGAATTGCACTCTGTGTCCCTTCTGCGTTCTGGAGCGCAGGCGCGCCCAGATTCGCAATCTCAGCGCAGCAAAGCGCTCCTCAGCGTTCGCGGCATTTTCAACGCGTTTCTGCGTTCTACTGCGCAGGCGTGCCCAGATTCGCAAGCTGAGCGCACATTAGCGCTCGTGGGCGTCCGCGCGAAGTTGCATTGTGAGCCCCCTTTTGCTTTCTGGTGCCCATGCGCACCAAGATTCGCAACCTGAGTGCGACTTAGTGCTCCTGGGCGTTCGTGCGCCCAGAATATTGCATTCTTAGCTCCTTTCTGTATTCTGGTGCCCGGGCGCACCAAAAATGCCGCCCCGACCGCGCGAGCCAGAAGCAGGGGCTACGGACGCACTCTGGGGCACTCCGGGTCGGATGTGTGCAGGCGGCAGAAGCTAGTCCTTGATGGGGGGGCATTGGCTAACCCCCCACGTGCGCACAACAGGGGCGGGGGTGCTTTGCATTTGTGCAGCACGCCCGTCCTCGACCGACCCCGGGGGGCCTGCGTCCCAAACGGCGCGTAATCGGAATATCCACGCCGACGCCCTTTCACCAGCGAACTCAGACTTGAATTCTGGTGTGGCTGCTAAAAATACGGCGGCTGAGATTGCAACTGGACGGATTTCCCATGGGAACTCGGCCCATCGGATTTCGAAAAATTTT